TGAAAGGATGGTTAGCAAAGTGGAGGAAATTGAGGGTACAGGTTACATGTGAGACAGTCAGATGATTTTTTGGAAAGAAGTCAGCTGATCCTGAGCTATGCGCACACTTTTACACACGCTCTCAGCCACCCACATACGCACACACACACACAGACCCAGAGGCACACACACACACACATGCGCAACACATACTCTGGTATAGTACCTCTCAAAAAAAAAAAAGAAGATACGAACATGTTTGCTTCCAGCTGTCGTAGAATTGCAAAAACTGCCTTCTCTGCTTCAGTCAAGCGGCTCATTCTCTGCACCTCGGCTGGTTTAGCCTTTCTCTCAAGGGCTTCAAGTGCATCTCAAATGTTCAAATGAGTTGCATTTGCAAACTTCCTCATGAGGTGGGTGCCTTTCTTCATGTGCAAATCATAGAAATGACACACATTATAGCAAACAAGCATATCCTAACACGTGTAGCTTCGCAGGTACTTGACAGGGCATTGCCCGAATGTTGCCTCTAAACAGCCACAGATGCGGCAAAAAGGACACTGCTTGAAACTCACTTGCAATTGATAGACCACGAACCGTACAGTACCCCCTCATTCATGTCGCACCAGGACAACACGCCGTTGGCGGATATATCCATCTCTGCCAGAAGAGGTGCCCGTTTCCATCACGCCCTTTTCGAAGAACTGGAGGGCCACCGTCTTGGACGTTTGCGCCTGGCAATGAGCTGGCAACAAGCTGTTTGTTCTTAGCCCTGCGACCAAAACAAAACAACCCACCGTGCTGCCTCTTGCGCAGGAGAAATGAGTGTTGGACGCACAAGAGAAACGTAAATAAATAAACAATGATAGGTCCTTTAAAACCAAGTAGCAGCAAGGTGGACAATAAATTCATTGTCATGGCTTCAACACACAGCAGGCTTGGCAGAGCCAAATGGTTCAAAGCTGGTGGCATGTGTTTTCAAACCCATGCAGCTCTAAGAACGCTGTCGGCACCCAACAACCTTCAATGATTCCACACCTCAAAACACATCCAAACAACGGAAACCCTTGACCATTTTCGAGGACAAAACAACCATGCCCCAAGCCTTGCTTGCAGCGGCCTTGCGTCTGGGCTTGAGTCCTGCGACGCCGGCTGGCCTTGTAGGCGTTGCACACTATGGCACTCGCAAGTCTGGGCTGCACCCAAATTCCTCTCTTCCAGTCCCTCGCAGCAGAACTACTTGCATTCAACATACCATACAAATATATATATATATTATCATGATATAGAAATATATGTAAATACATTCGACAATCACGGGCAAAAATAGTACGTCTTCGTGCCAGGCAAACAATGCTGATCTACCCTGCATGGAGGATTGAACGAAGTTGCGACCTGAGCACATGAATTCAAGGTTATCAACAAACAACAAAACTTGAGAGGGACCAACACCATGATTTTTACTGGGAACCCGAAAGGAAGATGTCTCTACAATTGGTCGCGTTTGGTGGTGTTCCATGTTTATCTGTGCTAAATAAAACGCTCGAGCAAACACAGGCCGCTCCTGATGCCTTTCCAGGTACCTGGAACTCATGCACCACGAGGCTGGAGGTCCTTGGCATTTGTCTCAAACCCAAATAACCTGTATCCAAATGTGGAAACCTGCAAAATTTGAACACAAGTCAAACCTCCGTTGGTTTCTTGCTGCAGATTGCTGCGGAACTGAACTGGAAGCACTGGGTCTGGCTTTGTTCCCCTGGGTCCAGCTCCTGCCTATCCTGGCTCTGCAATGATGGTCCAATTCACTGCGTCTGAGTAAATGGGATCACTGAACAACAAAGAGTTGCACCATCCACTTGCACCCAAGCACCTACAAGTGTTCTGCAACCCTGAGCCCAGGTTTCCTAGGAATGTATGTTGGATTCATTTCATTCGCCTTGGCTATACGGGTTAGTTGCATTAGTTCAACGCACATGCAAGATGGAGGTCAAAGGGCCAGCCCAAGCACATAAAAGCCCCACCGCCTTGCTAGACTCTGGCCAGCGCCAAGACCAAACGAAAGGGGCAAGGCGTATTCATCAAAATTCACAAGGGTGAGCGGGGAGGGGGGGGGAAGATGTCTGATTTGACGCAGCCTAGCAAACCTCGGCTAAGCTGTTCTAACCAGATTAATGTTGGACCTTGTTTCCCATGCCCCCCGCCGCGCCCCAAGTAAAACAAGGAGAGCTTGGATGACTTAAGTATTGCTTTAGTATTGCATATAGTTTAGTATTGCCAGCACGTCCTTTTCGTTGGCCACCACTTAGTACTGACTTAGGTTCTTAGAGGCCTAACTCCTCAGTTATGTGCAAGGCTCGCGTTGTGCACTTCAGCAATTTTGGCTTCTCTCATCACGCTCCTTGAGCTTTGCTTCTAAGCTGAACTGAGGAAAGGCATGGAAGGCATTGAGGGGCTGGACATGTCGATTGAGACCTTCAGCAGTCTGAGGCTCTCAGCATGGCCTTTGCTCTGAGTGGCATCTCTTTGACCAGCCACTTTGCAGCAATTGGGGTCTGAGTCAAGGAGTGCTTGAGCTGTGCTGAGAGTTTTCTGCAACTTGAATATGTTTTCTGATGTGAGTGGGTGGGTGCTTTCTGCAGCCATTTGCTCAGCCCTTCTCTCAGTTCTCTTTCTCAGAAGCTGTATCATGGCTACCTGTTCCTCCTCCTCAGCAGTGCTTTTCAACAGGCATACTCAAAAGGAGCCTGGGTTTGAGTGCAGGGGCATGTGCTCAGAAATCAGCCAAGATCACCAACGCAAGGCTAATTTCCCTGCAGGTGCTGCTCAGGTACCACAGGCAAATCATGCCCTTGGCTAACTGGACCCAGTACCTCAAGATGGACTTTCAGGTGCCCAGGGTGAGGCAGGAGTGGGTGCAGGCTCTTGAGCCAAAGGGCAAAGGCAAAGCTTCAGAAAAGGATTCCCTCACCAAAACCGCGCTCAGCTTGTATTGCATTCTTACAGAGTTTTCACTGCTGGGACTGAGCCAGGAAGCTGAGAGGAGAGATCAGTTGCCCATGTTGCGCATGTTGATCAGATTTTTGGTACAGGGATTTTTTGGGGTCTGAACTTGAAATAAATTGCGGGGAAATTTGACATGCTACAGCAGGTGCAACAATAGCTGCCAAATTAGCTGCCAGCTGGCACGTCGGCTCCTAGCTTGTGCCAACCCGCTTTTACCAATAGCTCGTTAACGGAAATGGCGGTGAAGCAAGCACCAAAATTCCTCGCATTGATGGTATCACCGACGCACCAAACCCAAGCTGCCCAGGTCGCTGGCAGCTGCAAAGCAAAAGGGAAGTACCGAAACGCCAAAGGGAAGTGCGCGGATGGCAGGGAACTTGGCATTGAGGCACTGTTGGTCGATTGCATTGTGACTTGTTGCAGATTTAATTTGCCAAGCTTCTGCGTGGCATCACATCTCTTGAATAAGGAGCAGGCGGTGCCCCACGTGTCTTTTTCGAAAACCCCTGCCGACACGTTTGAGCGCGAGCAGGAGGAGCAAGGAACCCAACGTGACTTCCAAGCAAGGATCAAAGAATGAAACAAGCAAGATATCTGTGGCAAACTACTACAAATTCCCAAGGCAAACAAACAAACTCTCCACGTAGGCAACCTTCATCCTGGGAGAGCTCATCTTACCCCAAGGTGAGCTACACTGTAAATTGGCAGACTACCTCTGTTACCAAGACAGGTTTTCTGTTGAGCGACGCCAGGAGGTTGTTTCTGCCTCGAAATCGGTTTTGGAACCTCTTACCAAAAGGATCAAGGAGGCTGGTGAACCTGAGTTAAATTCAACTTTGGGAGTTAACTTATGACCTGACACACTATACAGACATAATTGCATGCACATCACTTAATGAAACCTAACAAAGGCTCGAAGACTTCCCTCTCTGTCGCAACTGATTTGCTCAGCCAAAAATCGCACTGCTCGCGCCGAGCATGATGCAGTCATCATCAGGATTAGCGCTTTCATCCAGTTTCAAGCGCTTTCCTCGGGTGAGCGTGAGGCGCCCAGCATGAGGCTGGATATACACACACCCACACAACCCCTGCGTAGCTGGGACCCTAGAGTCCGGAATCTCCAAGAGCAGGGCCTGCGTTCACAACACAAAACATAAATATTGCCTAAGGATGCACACCAATCCCTGTCAACGGCAAAACAACTCGTACCTTTTGTTAACGGCGCACATTGGGGCACAAGGGCCGACATCATCAGAGATCTACTTTGCACAACCACGCAAAGATTGGTGATTTCACAACTGCTCACCAATACTTGAGCAGCGCCCAAAACCAATTAAGTAACGCCTGGCTCTAAGATTTCTACCGCTGTGCATGTAGACCGCATAAATCTCCACGAAACCAAATCATAAAACTCCTATCGCAAAATGTATCTCGGCACGATCCTGCTTCTCCCCTTTTAACAGCGACAAACATGGAATCTTAGCCGATGGGTTTGGGATTTCCCTCGGCACAAATTCAGCGCCCCGGGCAAAGTGTGTGTGTGTGTGTGTGAAAAAGGGGGAAGGGCTGGAAAGCGCTCACGGGGGTTCGAGCAGTGGATCAAAGAGCTACTCCCCTGCAAATTAACATGGACCGCCCCAAAAAAAAACATACAGAGCTTGCTCTACAAACGATGGGTTCCATGTCAAACTGATGGGGAGCACACCAACAGCACTTTGCTCCGTGCCCATGAGCCAGCCATACGTAGCCTCTTGCGCAGTCCAGCAGCCCACCCGCGCCAAGAGGTTGGAGGGCGAAGCTGCCAGCTGCGGCTCGCTGTCAGCTTCGCGCTTTTTTGGGCCTGAAAACTCGGCAGAAGGGGGCTTGTCACAGCTTTCTGCTGGGCACCCAAGACTCATAAGCGGGACCTTGCTAGCCCACACTCGGTTGGAAACACAAAGGAAGTCTCTAAAGGGGTAAGATATCACTTCTAGTTACAACTATAGGTAAGCGTTTTGCTATGGATTCCCCTAGTTTGCTTGTCTGAAAGCAATGGGTTGCGGCTGTACATGTTGCTCAAAATTATGGCAGCCCTCGGCTCATTTGACTCCGGGTAAAGAAGAAGCCCGAATCTAATGCGGGATGCTTGCCCCAGAGTTGAGGACCCCTTCCAAAATGGGCTTCACAACTATTGAGCAGCCAGAAGTTTGTTCGTCCAGGGTTCCAAGTACCAGTGCCCTAAAAAGCATTTCAATTCAGGTCATAGGCAATCACGCAAAACGTATGCTGAATACTGATGTCGGCATCTGGCTGTGGGCTGCTTGTACTTGAAGTAGAGGCGTTCTAAAAAAAATACACAAAGAGAAAGTAGCATGTCTTGAATTGAAAGTCCTTGCTCGGAGAACAGGGGAGGGAGCCGCTCATGAGGAGAAAACAAGTGCCCAGCAAGCTGTGACTTCATGCAAGCAGTGAACCCTTGAAACATGGCCTTTCAACCCCTCGAAGCGACGCAGCCGATGAGAAATGGGCGGTCAATCTCCGCAAAGTGGCTTCCTGTGGCACCCGTGTTCTGCCTGGCTCCCCCAGTTCATATATTTTCGGGTGGCTCTCCCACTAAAGAACAAGAGGCTGCAGTTCCATATATGCAGCAAAAGCGGCTCAGGCTGCACTTCGTGACACTTGGGTGAAGGTAGCCTCAGCCGCATGGCACATTGGGCACGGCAGATTGTATCCCCTTTAGCTTCGGTCAATCTGGGTGTGTCTCAACATGTGGGATTAAAACTGGCTGGTTCCCGTGTGGTTTACTTCAAACAACATGCTCTAAATTCAGTTGTCAATGCAAATGTATGCCTCAAAGGCCAGAGGATCTCTTTTGGAAATCCATAAAGAACATTTCGGCCCTGGCCACCGCGTCCGCTTGTGGGATTCCCTTTAGATGGCCCCAACGGGACTTCACTTCCTTCCACTCGGGTTTGGTGGCCGTGGCCATGAGCGGCCACTCTGAGAGGGGCTCTATCCTCCGAGGCTCAGCCATTGTAAATATGGAAGGATTCACAAAGGTGTCCGGAATGAACCTAGGGATCCCCTTAAAACAAAAGAAGGGATGATTCATACGGGTCACTGATTCCTTCCTGTTGAGAACTGGCAACATAGCGGAACCCCCATGAGGAAACACAGATTGGCGGCTGAGGAGGTGTCTCATTTGAGGACACAAGCCACGCTCAAGCTGTTCTCCGTGTGCTGCCTATCGTTGAGCCAGTTTTCCCATTTTGCGATTCTGTGGTTTGCTTTTCATGTTCATCTTGGTCTGCAACTATTATTGCAAATTCTAAATCTGAATAAGGAGATATCTTTCCAAAACGTAGCGAAGATGTAGATGATGAAGATAGACTATTTACAATAGCTGTATTAAACGGACAACGCGGCGTAGGATCATTCCAGAAAATCGTCACTAGGTTCTGACTGATCTCAATACCCCAATACTCAAGGGACCGGTTCCCTAAGAGAGGATATTTGAGTTTGCAGAGCCCTTTTCAAAAACATATTTGGCCATGAGCCCGGTGCTTGGACCTCACCAGCCCACCATGCTGAAGCTCCACCAGCCATTGACGTGCTAACAGGGAGCAATCAAAGCATCAGAAGCGAACAGCAAACACCTGGAATGTTATGATTCACAGTCTGCAACCAGTCACAGTAATTGGTTGTCATTGGACTTAGTGCGTGTACTCACCAAATCACAACTCGTGCAACTAAGCTCCTCTAAACCAGTCGGCAACACTCAGATAGTCAGAGGAGAACCGCCTTTCAGGGGTGGCGCAATGCAGCCAGGTGGCTGAAAATGTCACTGGAGTCGAGGCTCTCATGTTCCATGAAGTCCAAATCACCGACGTGTCAGCTCAGGCTTGTCCAAAAGCCATGGCATCGTGGGGCGTCTTTTGAGCGCTGAGCGCTGGTCGATGCCAGCGGCCATCCTTGGAATGCCTCATGTAGGGCTGGTTCATGTTGTTCAAGTGTGTCCAAACTCCAAACTTGTGTTTCCCAGTTGGTAAATAGCAGGAATGTTAGGAATGTATCCCAGCCGACTAGGATCACCTATCACCTCGCTTTGTGCGAGTCAACTTCCATCAGAAGCTTCTAGAGTCCAATGACTTAGCTGTTTTTGCACGTGTCAGACTATAGCTTGGGCCCAAAGCTACAGCAAGTTTTGCCGAGTCCTCCCAGATCTGCCCCATGTGACCAAACCATGGCAACGTAGCCTTCATAAAGGTTTGCGTTGGAACATCCCTGGGGGCTCAAAATGGTGGTTTCCCTTGCTGTGCCCTGAGCAGACATGTGCTAGTGGTTCTAAGAAACCTCACATCATGAGCCATGGTCAATATTGTTCGTGTCCCCAAGTGACTTTGTTTGTGCGCAACCTCATTTCCGAATGGCAATTTGGTGAGTGTATCCCCCTTTTCAGATCACGGTGAATATAATAGCCCCATCCAAATGAGGTCCGCCAAGGGATCCCCAAGTAAAAATCACCACCCAGCGCAATCGCAACCTCCGAACGCGGAGCGTGCAAGCCTTTGTGACTGCTCTGCCCAGCCGCAGGCTCCAAAGCCCACCCGGCACTCAACACGGCACAAAGCAGAAGATGCGCACCCGAAAACAGTCCGCTTGATATGTTATGAGTAAGCAACTGTAACTGATTTCCAAGCCCTCAATATTGGTTGATGGTCGGCATGGACATCTTAGGGACATGTAAGGAGTGAGGAAGTAACTTCTAAAACCGGGACACTATATATGATGGTCGGTGTTTCAACAAACACGGCCTTCATTCGAACACTGCGAAAACCTGTCATGCTCAATGCTGAATAGCCTACTATCTTCCAGCCAGGCCTGCTTTAGGCAAAACAGAAAAATTGACAAGCTCACATTGAACTCGCCGGGGCAAAACTGGGAGGCTCCTCCCACTGCGTCACATTTGTCTCCTGCAAGAAAGGCATTCAAGGAACACTCCAATGTCGACAGCGCATCCGGAAACAAACAACAAACACACATGCTTTTGCCAATCCTTGTTCCAGTAGTAGTAAGCTTTGTACTCTGAAGAGTAGACCTGCTGCCAAACTGTAGGAGGTGGCGTCGGCGGCGGCAACGGCGGCAGTGGCGGAGGTGACGGGTCGCCTCGTCGGCGTTGTGGAGAGAGATGTCTATTTTGCCAAGTGGATGTACAGGTTTGAGTCAAGCTGAAACATTAGCTCTCGAAACACTTGCGTACACAAGGGCAGAGACCAAGGCAAGGTGTGACGTCATAAAACTTTGGGGGATGATGAATCAGGCGTGCTGGAAAGGCCCTGCAGTTGTAAGTCGAATCCGGAGAAACCAATCTTAGTCAAGCAAACACAGGGTTCTACCCCTGGCGTTGGAACACCCAAATAAAGGCATAAAGGCTTGGAGTGAATGGTAAACTGCTCATGCGAAGTACACACTATGCCTCAGCTCAGATTCCCTGATAGAATTTGTGGTTCGGATGGGTGGTTTGGAGGTTAGCAGTGGTTTCCCATTGACCCCCTGCAAGAAGCAGGGGTTCAAATACCAAAGCCACCAATCCAAGCCACCAATTCAGGGTTACCTGATCAAGTGTCCCATGGCATTGGCGCGCAACATAGCAACTTGCGGCCTGAATCATTTAGCTTGCATCAGTCAGAGTGCAAAGAGCTTGTATAGTCAGAGTGGGACAGAGAGGCACCCTTGAAGCACGTACTTTGGGGACTGTCACAAAAATAGTATTCTCAAACAACACCCGTGACTAAGCTAGGCTGCAACCACGCAGGCGCCAGAAGGTCAATCCGACGGGGCCTCAAGCATGCTGCTCGCTGACGCGATAGCAAGGAAGCTCAGTCGAACCAAAGGGGAAGCAAGGCAGCGTTGAGCCACAGTCTTAGTTGTTCCTGCAATCACGCTTTCTCCTTGGTGGGGATTGTGTTCATCCAAGGCGCCGCGATGTTTCCCGGGACCGGTCAAGCTCTTTCAGGAGCACAGCTCATGCTCCGCCATAGGTCAACACGGATACTGGCAGCATTGCCGGAACAGCTGCGCGCGATTTTCGGCTGGCAGAAGCCACATCAAGCGCACAGCGCGCCTTCCGCTTAAACCCCAGCGCGAAAGCCTCGCGAAGCAGAGTGCTTGCCACTGTGATTTTGGGAAAAGCTTCCAAGAGTCAGTGCGGTCGTCCATCGACGACGCAAACTCACTTGCGCGGGGCAAAGACGCAATAAAATCAAGATCGCGCATGCTTCCACCTTAGGTGCCAAGAACGCTGTAGTTCCGTGTCGTGAGTCGGATTGACCAGGGAAACACACATCGCGTCACACATGCTGTCATGTCACGCTGTTCCGCTATTATCACGGCGTGATGCTCTGCCGCTGTGTCCTTCTGTAGTGAACGCGGCTTTGCGTGAAAAAACGAAGGTGTCATTCCATATTGTCAAAACCGCACGTGAAAGTTTGTTATTACTCGAGACCTTTTCCACAAAAAATCAAATCCCAGCGACGCGGCAAAAGCGGAACACCCATAAATGTGGTCCAACTAGGCGGTACAGCTCGAAGGTTGCCATTGCTTGCTCAAGCCTGGCCTGTCACAGCCTGGCCACTGGCGGGAGCCGCGGACTTCACGGCAGCTTCAGGCTTCGGCCTGTCTGGCACGGCCACTGGTGGGAGCCTCAGGCTTCGGACTGTCACGGCTGTCAGTTCCTGTCTGTCCCAGCTGTCAGAGGCTCCGTCGCAGCTGCGTCGCAGCTGTCTGTCGAAATCGGCTCTGCCACAGCAGTCATGCGGCGGGTGGACGGGCAGGTGGACGAGCAGCAAAACGGGTCGGATGTCACTTAAAATCTAACAACCCCAAACCCGTCGGGTGGGGAACAAAGTGAAAGCCAGGCTTGGTGGTGGAGGGCAAAGTTAACCAGATTTGTCCATTTGTCCAATGCTCCCTCCTGGGGTTCTGCTTCCCAAATCTTGGGTCAGCAACCCTGAGGATCCTAGCTGATTCTCCCACTTTGAGACATGCTTCTGTGACCGTAGCGCGTCCTGTCTTGGTCTACATCTGGGGCTCACAGAGCATCACGTTGTCTGACTCTGCTCCGTATGTCTACCCTACACGAAATGAGACCTGTTGTTGTGATATGTCTTCCATATGTCTACCCCAAAACAACAAATCACATTTTGGAGGGGGACCCCAGCTGAGGGATCACTCCTTGACGATTAGAAAGCCCGGCCGCCTGGCGAGGGCTGCGACTGCGAGGACTGCGAGGACTGCGAGGGCTGGGCCGTGGACGCGGACTCGCGCGTGCCGCTTCCCGTGCTGGTGCTATGCAGGTCCTCTCATTGAACAGCTTCGGCCGGAAGCGCTCGCGAAATGGAAACCAAATCAACCCAACCTGACCCATTCCAACTAAAATCAACCATACACTGCAATACTGCCTTCTGACAAGTGCTCGGGTCTTTGGAAGGGCCGGGCGGAAACAAAAAACAAAAAAACATTCAACCCTTTCAAGTCGTGCTGGCCAGTGAACAGCTAAACCAAACCCCCAATGGCCAAGGGATAAAAGAGGCGTAGTCCTTGTGTGATAGTTGACTGTAAAGGGACCGGAAAAAAAGGGAACCCCTGATTGTCTGAATAAGCCCATCTCATTGCTTCGGGTATGTTTCACGGCGGAAACCACTTCATGGGTCCGAACGTTCCCAGCCTCAACGACTCAACTGCAATGCAGTCCCTATGGTGGATCGACAAACTTCTGCACCAAATCGGTGGTTTATCCTAGTAATCATAGGGCTTCATCCATTCCAAGTTGTGCACAGTCGATTTTGCCCATCTGCATGATGCTCAAACGTTATCCTGCGTATCCCTCCATTGAACTTGGACATCTGCGATCCCCATCTTGACGATCTGCCCCGCCCCCCCCATCCCAGCAATGTTCAGAAATGCCTCGAATGCGTGTGGTGGGAATGCCCTATGCTCTGGTGAGTTTCTCACCCACAGCAAACATACTCCAGAAAACAACAACAGCATCATGTAAATCGCATCTTCACGAGCGGTGGCTTCGGAAGCCGAGCCCGGCTCCCCGTCCTCAAAGGGGTTCCCTCCCAAAGCAGCGGACTCCCTGGCGGCAGGTAGACTTCTGGATGGGGAGGAGCTTGTACTTTGCATCCTGCACACACAGAAATTCATGCAAATGTGACAAATGTGGTACATCTTGTACAGCTTCCTGAATTCACCCACTTTTCCGGCTCCCAAAATTCGCAGCATATGTCACCAACCCAGCTCCTTTCTGCGACCTCGTGTGCGCCAAGGACGGCCTTGCGTTCTTCCGCCCAGGCCAGCCAGTCCGGCCATCTGGACTCTGGGGCAACGCCTGGGCTGGACTTCCTTTGGCCCTCCAAAAGTCGATTTGGGGCGCAGAGTTGGTCGCTTGGTGTTTTATTGGACGGTGGTGGTTGACATGAAGGAACACCCACTTAAACACAACACTTGAGAGCTTCCAAGGGAAATGGGGTCGATTTTTTATTTGGGGGCCCCTTGGTGGACATGATTTCCATGAGGAGGTCTTGTCTGCTAGCCATTGTGGAGTGCGTTTTCAATTTCAATGCATAGCCCTGAAAGGCACACCCATGCCGGTACACCGTGAACGTGGGCAGTAAAAACGTTGCGCATTGGACATCCATCTGTGCCAAACGATTTTGCCACAGGAAAAAGCCTGCACGGGGGAACATCAGGCAAATAAAGTCAGCGCCTGTGGGCTCTGGACTCCACCGAGGCTCAAGAAAGAAGTTACCAATAAAATTCCAAGACATGCGAAGGCCACAACCAACCTGGAGATCGGATGGTGCGTCAGGTTGGGTATGGCGTCACTTGACCATGGAGCAGCAGAATCCTTGCCATGGATTGCGAGGAAGATAGCTCCAAGGAATAGCTCTCGTTGAAACTAACGGAGAATTGATGCCTCATTTGAGAAATGGCTCACCCATTCAGGCCACACACCCGCCCCTTCCTTGCTGGCAACGCCTGGAATTGGCCAAGAAGCTGTTGCGCAAGGTGTCCGCGTTGCCGAAGACGATGAGGCCTCAAGCGTCCCCGTCATTGCAAGTACCGCAGCCGAACTTCAAACCACAAGCCGCAACAAGCAACCGGAAATCCGATCTGATCTTCGGACCTCTCAGACAAAACACTTTATTCTAGGAGGTGCATGAAAAACAATCGGAAACTCAAGAAACGTGTCAAATGAACAGATGCGACCGCGGCCCCACCACCTTTCGCTTGTTCAGACACTCTACCAACCATCCGTGAGGAACCAAGGCCAAACACCGCCTGACTGGTTGGCGGCAAGTGGGTATCTTTGGCGGCGGGGTAGGGTGCGCAATTCTTGTGCAGGCCTTGCTTTGCACGTGTGAGCATCACGTTCATGCGGCGGTTGTCCGCCAGGAATCCTGGAGCCAGCTGAAATCGCGGTCGGCAAAACCATGCTGAACAACCCAAAAACTCTACGAAGGGCCCACAACATGCAAAAATGGCATTGGCTCCAAGGGTGCCCCGCAACTCCCAGAATAGAAAGAAAAACAACATGCGCAGTGTGGGTCCTTAACTGGAAGTTTTGCAGCCAAATCTCCAGACGAAAAGTAAAGGGAGCAGCACTTCGCGGCATAAAAATTCGACACGCAAACCTATGGTGGATGCCCCTACCATATTGCAAGTAAGGGAGCAAAGCAACCCTCCTTACCGTGATTTGCCATGGTCCCAAAAAATGCAGGATGGTTTGAATCTGGACTTGGATGTTGGCAGAGTATCTCAGGCCTCAAGGCATTGGGGCGGGGCGTCCGCTTGCCCCGGTCCTAGGGCTCTGGACTCATTGCTGCGGGTGGCGCTGAAGAGGATCAGGCCTTGCTCCATGCCCTCGGATTTCGGATGCGCGGCAAGAGGTTGAGATTACATCTGAACTACCGAAAGGACCGAGCCAACTTATACCCGTAAAAATGGGTGGGCCCAACATGATGAGTATTTGTCACAAGGGTAGTTGGAGGGTCCGTAAGTTATACTCCCATAGTTCATAGCAAGGGCAACCAACCAGTTACACGAGTTATCATTACGCAGTTACTGCTAGCTATAATTTTGAGCATCCAGGATCTGAGAAAAGTTGGTAACCGGTTGGTTCAGGTTGAATGTATTGTAGTCAGCAACAGGTGACATGATTAAAGGTTGGTTGAAGGTTTTGGCGAGTGCTCGCAAGAGGTAAACAAACGCTGGTTGAGCGAAGCTCTTTGCATGTTTGTCTGCGGCGACATTGGAGGTTCAAGGCCGCAAACTAAACTGCGGTCATCTTTCTCCTTATGAGTAACATGTGGCATGTTGATGTTTGGCTGCAAGCGATATGTTCGTGCTCCACGTAGTCTTTGGGTGCTTTTGTTCCTGCCGTGCTTTGGCCTTTCGTCTGGTCTGCAAATGCGGGCGGTTTTGGTATGATTGGCGTACACCACTCAGCAAAATCCGGTCGATCGGGAGGATGTCTTGTTGCCTTAAGGGCTCTCTGACATACATTGACCTCTTTCGACCTTATATCTTTCAAGATTCGCGACGTGTGAACAAGAAGTTAAACATATAACTTTTAGCGCCCAAAGGCTGCGGTGGGCCGTTCTCGGCACGGCTCGCCTGGTACCCATCAATGGTGTCCACGGAGATAGAGCTCAAATAGCTCCCCAAGCCCCGGTCCCGGATGGCGCGCATAAGCTCCTGGGAGATGGGGCTAGGCAAGCTGTGCCTTGTGGATGCGGTGAAAACAACAAGTGCGGGTTCGGAAAACATGGGTCCACGCAAAGAGGTGGGGTGCGGCAACGGTTGAGTCCCATGTCAAAGGTTGAAAGGTCAGTTGGTTTGATTGGAACATTCCAACACCTGGCGATGTGTTGCAAAAAATCCTACCCCCACTACGTTTGCTCATGGCAGTTGACTGAACATCTCGTTCCTGGAATCGGCAAATTTACGGACAAACAAGTCCTTGCCGAGCTCCATCGCGCAGCATTTGCAGGGGTAATTCAAAAAAGCGCTAGCCTCCTACGCGACGAAGAACAAAGCAAGCCGCTCAGTACATACACTTCGGCAGCTCCAACAGAAACATCAAGCTGTTTCAGCAAACGCATAGTAATTACGCAAGGTGCACGTTGGCAATGGGAGGTGGAGCATTGCATTCTGCAGACAAGCGTGGTACACCTCACCTGCGGGGAATCTGGCAGAAATGTCCATGGCATGCCGTGAAACTTGTGTGAATCTCGCTCTAAAATATCTCCAGACATTGGCTTGGGACATGGCTCTCGCAGTGCTTGGCTGGCACTGTCACATTCCCCTCCTGCTTCTGTGCCAAATAGGCCGTAAGCACTGCCTCAGTGGCTGCCAGATCTACAATCTTCATCCCCCGGCAAAGATTTAGCATTCGCATGGGTCTGCCCAGATTTGAAGGCGATTTGAGGAGTCGGGACTTCCACTGTCTGATGAAAGGAACAGATATTTTGTTGGTCAATATGCAACCATCTACGTTCCAAGAAATGCCAAAACAGGGGCGTGCATAGCTCAAATTGGGGGAGCTAGCTTGACCTCGCTTGTAACAGTAGGTTGTTGGAAGTTCCTGGCTATGTAGCTGATCTGTTGCAACAGGATAACAGCATGAAGCAGCAACTGCATTGCAAACCTCTGCCCTTCCCAACTGGCCGAATACGAGTGGCCACTGGTCCTCCAAATCTGGAACTAGCAAAGTTTGGGCAGGGCAACTAGATTCTTTTAGAAATATGAACAACTATACTCAAACAAAAACTGCTCTCGGTCCCTAATCAGCCATACACAGAGTTAGCTTCACGACAGTTCGTTTCAAGTAACAGTGTACGCGCCTGTCATCCTCATACATGTTCATCTGTGGTTCATGGTCATCTGCGGTAACCACATCAACCTGCCACAACGATAACATCTAACTATCCATAGTTGTCGACTAAACTCAGATATGAGTGATATCCTGGGTCCGGCCTGTTTGGGCCACGAACAATTCTTCAGACCTGATTGGCCCGACACCAATTCCACCAGAATGCTTGCGCCACACACAAAACAGGCCTGATGTCCTGCTATGAAGTAGATCCCTGCTTCTCTCTCTTTCTCTCTCTCATGGAAAGTGAATGCAGGCCCAAACGAAAGCGGCCAAATTTCTGGGGGCTCCCGGCTCCTTCGCTTCAGATCACGGATCTACCACCCCGTCCCTTGCCGGGCGTCGATTTGGTTGGGCGGGTACCCTGCGCCAAGGATCTCCTCCAAAACACCGGCCAAAGCTTCCGCCTGAACCGAGCAGTCCCCAGGCTCTTCGGAATCCTCAACCCTCAGTGCGAACGAAAGAAGAGGTTTCGGCTTAAGAAAGAGAAATCACACCCAAATACACTCCCCAAGCCACATGGAACATGAAAGGGACATGTCCGAACAAACATGACTCCCTTTCAGGTTCCACGAAAATCTCCCCGGAAGGATTTGAGAAATTGGGGGGCACAGCAGACAGGGGGACCCGGTGACAAGCAGTGCTGCCTTTGGGTCCATTGCTTTGACTTTGACGACCTGAAAGGACCGGGATCCGCGTGTGCTGTTGATTGAACGCAAGCCATCAGACACTAATCAAACACATGGACACCATGCGAGACATTGCAATCTACAAACACAAATTGCAACTTCTGGCCAGTGAAATCCCTACACGCAGTCGGGCCCCTTGTATAAATGCGGGAAGCACCGCTACACAAGGCCTGCCTTCCAAATGAACAATCCTGTTTCCAGCCCCTTGAACACAACCATAATCCCTTTTGCGACCGCGGAGCCACTTGCCGGCTGCAACTAGCCACAACACTGCTTGCACTTGCGCTATGGCCGTAGCTCACTGCTTTAAGCTGCGAACCCTTGCGGCTTCGGACAGCCCGGGCCCTTTGCCCATATGCCTAGCCCCAGCCGCATGTGCCCAGGATGCGGCTATTGTTGCCATTGGCCCAGCCGCCTAGCCCTTCGACGGAGATCAAAGGAAGCCTCTAAATTCAATTTCGCCTCGGCGAGCGCGAAGCGTTTAAAATACTGGAAGCTGACACAAGGATTTTGGAAGACTATATACCATCCTCTTCAAAAGGTCTTTTGTCCACCTCCATGCTTGTTGACCAAATTGTACCTGGTAGACACATTTACTACACATATAATATTGTCATGTTAGATGTCGTATCATATCAACATATATACTCACACGACACCTGTATTGAGAATTCTATCACGTGGTCAATTTTATGTTTGAGCCACCCAAAATGGAAGCGCAACGTGACCCGCGCAACGTGGTCGGGTCCGAGTGCCCTGCTCGGCTCGACCGCGCCTCTCCGGTGTTGAAGGCGGAGAAGCCCCGGCGCCCCTCGAGCGAGTCGCTGCTCACGTCTACGAAGGCCACACGGCAGTCCTCGAAGCTTCGGTCGCAACACGCCCGTGGCTGCAGGCAACTGGGGAACGGGTTGTTCCCCTTAGCATGGCTACCTTGCCGCGTCTTTTGAGGGTACCTGTACCCTTTAAAACGGGCAAGAGCCCACTGACGTGGCCACGTAACACGCATAGGTAAAGCTGAACTCTAGGAGTTGGTGTAAAGATGGCAAACCAAAGACACGGCTGGTTGCTTGGCAGTTGGTTGGATTTGGCATGCATGAGCATCGGATAGGTATCAACTATCGGTTCAGGGCCTGTAAGTTTCCCACTCCGGAACTTTGGTTTACACAATTGCCTCGTATAGCTTCTCAACGACTCAGGGTGCAGCTTGCAAGAACCAAGACTATTCGAACCAATTGTGTCTTCCTGGCTTGACTATGATTTCGGGTATCGTTGATTTTTCCTCAGCATCGGTTTAAAAATAGTTTGGGCCTGCAAAACGAGTTCTGGGACAGCCCCTTACATAAGCAGTGTGCACTACTGAGCAGGATGCTCGCTGACATTGGAGAATTACACGTATGCACACATCGCCCTCAACAGCTCACTTCCTGAGCGGATTGGTCAGGAACAATAAACAAAGTTGTTGTTTGCCACCAAAATGGTCTTCGCGAAAATGCATGATTTGGGAAGAGATGGGAATGGAAGCGCTTGCTTCTGGGCGCACACTTCCAAGCTTCAAACAAGCTGCAACTTGTTTCTCCTACTTGGATTCGTGGGCACTCGCATCTCCTGAAGGTCTCACGCCTCTAACTCACGCAACACGTTAGGCTCAGCTCCATGCTCGGCCTTCCACCCGATCGTCCCGTGTCGAGGCTCCGGGTTGGGCCAAGGAAAGCCAGGCACTGCCGGCAGGGCGGAATCCTCCGCCGCATTGATGAGCTGGCCTATCAGACCCAAGGAAGTTCCTATGGAAAAAAGGATCTGATCAATGTAGTCCCACTGGGTGTTGTTTGGTAGCTTCTGAGGTTCGAGCCCTGAAATCTCCTGAAAAATCATCAGACCACTTGCATTTCCGAGTCTATTTGCTGCCCGCGTGCTGATTCTTTGAAGATAAGCAGTTGAAGGGATGGATCGCGACTCTCCCTCTGTGTTAGCCACTTTCTCCTCCAAAACGCGCACTCCTAGTGGGCCATTCAACTGGCAATTGCGGTAGGCAAGCGCCCGACAAAAGACTCGCCGGGGTCTTCCAAATCAGGGAAAGTTTAAATAAAGTTCGGAGACTGCTACTTTTCTGAGGGTCTCAGTGAATAATTCCGGAGATTTGAAACTCCCGTTTTTTGACAATAAACTGCTGGAAATTGATGTTGACTCCTTATAGAAATTGCATTCCACACTCTTAACTCCTACAAATCTCTAGGCGAGCCTGTGCTGCAGGGTTGTGTGGTCCGGGCGGTCGATAAGAGGATGTACAGGCTTAATGGAATCAAGACACAGCACACGCGACTTTGATGACCAACCTCATGCTCGCTTTGTGAAGCTGCTGAATGGAAAACAAGTTAAAACGCATTCAGGGTTCTCACATGGCGGAGGATTTTGAAAATTCATTGAAGCCTGGGACGAAGCAAAACTGGTTCAAGAAGACAGACTTTGATGTGCTGGGCGCAGGATAATTATGAATATGCCATACGATGCGCAATATATGTGACCTGTCAGATAGATAGATCTTTCTCAATGTTCTCGTTCGAAGCCGGAAAGTCTGATTTCAAGCATCTTACCTAAATACAGCCTGTGCTGAGCCCCTTGCTCCACAGCCTAATGTCAGTCACCATGCGTGCAATCACCAATCCCGGTGTTCAATGTGCACTCCTACCTTTCACCAGCTTTCCAAAATTTGCTGCTCTGGCACTCCTGAAGCTGAATGGTTTTGGGGGTCTCATGGGTCTTCTAAAAAGAACACGGAGAACGGAACAAAAGTGAAATGACACGAAGTCCAGGAATTATATATTGAGTATCAACTGGGATTGGGCGAAAGAGAAGAGATGTCCAACATAGGCAAGGCCCAGTGGACGTAGTTTCCAATCTAGGTAATTCATGTGTCGCCCGGGGCTGCCCAAGGCACGTTGGCACCAAACTTCAGACCAACCTCACAGTCTGAGCAACAGGAGTGGACCCCAAACTGGATATCCACGCGAATGTAGGCATCCCATGAGTTTGACGATTCAACTCCATTCACTTGCCCAATGCCGCGGAAAAAAAAGGGATTCACAAACACGTATCCCCCAAACACTTACACACAGGCTCAACCGTTTTGCTATGTTTTGCTCAAAGGACATACAAATAAAAGGCAAGCCGTTTTGAACTCCTCAGCTTTTCTGAAGCATGATGCCACCCCCTATTCTTATTTATCTTCGATAACCTCAAGCAATACCCTAGAAAGCGTTTGTAGTTTGAGTATATAGGGGGGAACCTTGACTAAGAATTGACTAAAATGAACCAACATAGCAAAACCAAAAGGTCAAACACTAACAGGTTGGTTTTGCGTAAGTGAGACTTACGAACAAGTTGGCTCTGGCCCCAACACAAACGCCACTCGAAAAATGGGAATCCCCACCTGCCAAAGAGACGTGCGAATATCAATGGTTACCTGATGTGGGTGGTGGTTCAACTCACGGGTCACTGGACATTCTCCTCGCAACTTGCTTTTTGTCGGAGGGTGCCCATGAAACCCCACTTTTGGAGACCCAGAAGGAGTGCATGAGTTTAAACGCTGAAGACAGCACCGCTATGCAGCTAGCCCCACCTTGCCACAGCTGCAAAGAACAAACACGGACCCATACCTTTTTTGAGCATGGGCTTGCCAAAACTTGGTCCCAAATGATGAGCTTCCTGTTGCCTTGCAACTCAACCCTGCTCGAACGGAGCCCAACTCGTTCGTACTAAACCACGCCGCTTGTTGCCCAGTGACCCTGGCAGAAAAAGACTTGGAACTCTTTTTGGGGTTGACCATTTGTGGGAGCCCCCAAGCAAAACGGGATTGGGGTGCCTCTCATGCTGTCCCCCAAAAGCTGTGTGTTCCTTTGCTTCCCCTTGACCACCCAAAAGCGGGTTCCCGCAAAATAAACCATAAAAACGGCTCATGGCCTGGGGTTTCCCGGGCACTCGAGACGGCCTGAGTAGAAAGTTTGGTTGGGGAAGTCGGCGATGGAGCTGTGCATCCGCCGCTGTTCCAGTAGCATCGTGGGCTCCAACCCGTTGTGCCGCACCTCAGATCCGATCTTTGGTTTTGGGTCCAAAAGGAGTTGCTTGAAGAGTCAAGGTCAGAGTTCTTAGAGACTGGATGCAGGGTCTAGAACCGCCCGGCAGCCTGCAAAAGCGGAAATCATGGCCGCGGAGAAACAGAAACGGCGGCAACGATACCAACACCGGCTCCCAACCACCAACAGCACCATTCAATCGAAAACAAAACCACCTGGAAAAGTCAGGTCAGTAGATGCACAGCCGCCAACCAGCAATGGCAGTGCTATGATTGACATGATCCTCTTTCCAAGGCACCATGCGCTCAAACAGGCTCACGCCGAGCCCCTCGTTTTGCGCAGCTTTGGAGAGAACCGTGGCCGGCAACTGCGCGTGGTCCCCAATGAGCACCACCTGCGGCAAGTTCTGGTTGCAATTTGTCTGAAGGGCCTGTGGGTTGGCAAACAATAATTGTGTGACACAAGCGGAAAGTTCTTGAGACCAATTCTAGTTGTGCAGTGGTCTGGCATAGTGACAATACATAGGAGCCGTTCAATTCCCGTGGTGCATGCTCTGCAAACAGCGCAAGTGCCCTTTGAGCAGGCATGAGCTGCTGCTGCTGGTCATGATCATGATGGTGGTGATGATGCTGACCATTCTAATGTGTACGGTTGGCCTTCTGAGGAAAAAAACAAGTTCCTTTGCTCCAGCCATGAGCAATAATCAAGTCAGTACAGCACATAGAAGCTGTTCAAGGAATCACTCAACACAACCATGACACGTGCAGGTGCTGTATGTTGACAAACCCTAAGAGGTATGTCTTTGACCCTACTCCCGCCCACTCCCTCAGCTCCGGACCCAAACGGAAACTTAATCAAGTACACAAGCTTGCAAACTGCGAGTGGCGGCAAAGGCCCCAAGCATTCATTCACACACGAACACTGGTGTTTGCGAACCTATATTAAGATTTCGGAGGCCTGCCGCTTTGAACGCCCTCTCGTTAGAAAAGAGACAAGACTTGGGGTCTGCGACTATTCTTCACCGGCTTGTCAAGGTCATTTTTTGGTTTGTGGGCTTGAAACTCGAGAACATCAACAACATGCCAGCCCTTTACTGTTGGTTATACAAACGCTTCGCTGGTCGACCAACCTCTTTGGAAGCGTGTTGGAAGCTCGACAGCACGCTGGCTGACTTGCAATGGCTGTCTCTAGGCCGCCAGGACTCATGCATCGGTGCAAAGTAACAATATGTGTGTATATATATATATAGCCGCGATGTATTTATATATATACAGTGCATTACTGGTAGGTCAGCAAGTCCTGCCGGCTCCCAACACCCCTCATCCCTGCCCCACCCGGGCCTTGCGGTGGCTCCTATTATCTCAGTGACAATCTCTAAAAAGAAAGCCGATGCCTGCATTCATTGGCCTACAAAGCCAGCGATGGGGGTTTCGCTGAGAAGCAATGCTCGTCTGATTTCTGCTCGTTTGGGCCAGTTGGTATAGCCACATCTTACCTGTGTGTTTCAACCCTAGACCACATTCCTGACCTCCATTCCACCTGCTAGTTGCTGGGCAGAAAATACAGGTTTGGGGGGCTCGAACACAAACAGACTGCGGAAACCTTTCCGGGGACAACCATCGATAGTCGGGAACCCACCAGCATTGGGAAGGTGGGGCACTGAACAACCATCCCGGAGACCAAAGTCTGTCACTACCAGGTAGGTAGGTTGCAACCATGGCTATAAGGGATCTATGTTAAAGAAGCCAACGAAAAACAACAATAAAACAAAACAAACACTGAACCAAACATGGGAAAAAAAGCCTTGACCCGGGCCAACGTGCCGTCCGGCGTCTGGCGTCGGGCCTGCTCAGCTTGCCGGCCCAAGGGCACCAACACTGCGGGCTCGCAGGCTTGGGTGCACTCATCCACCAGCACCCGCTGAAAGCCCCCTGAATGGCACCGGTCCCTCCGGAAAATTGGATCCCGTAAAAACGCATTCAACGTGGAGACGTTAGCATTGCCGTTATTGCAATGGAAGTGGATGCTTGGAGACTTGCATCCTCCAAAAGCCCCTTTTGTGCAGTTCTATGATTCTTGGAAAGAGGGTGTCCTTTGGAAGAAATACATGGCACCGGTAATTACTTGCTGGGAACAATCTCAAACCAGTGCCATCGATATTCATCTCTATTCAACCCCCCAAAAAGTATAAGGCTGTGCCGCGGCAAGTGGGGAGCAAGATATCTGCACGGCCCACTGACCTTGAACTACCCGTGAGTTTGTGGCTGGGAACGGGTTCAAACGTTGCATCCGACACATTTGATGGTGCAAGGCTGGTCCCAGTGACCCTTGAATGGCTTGAAAACCTGGGCAAATTACTACTACTCAGGGGATGACAATATCATGGACAAACTCTCCCCACCCCGGCCAGGTAAGCCCAGGATCTTCATATGTGAAGCACAGCTAGCGCCACACCAAATCTTCTTGCCGCCAATATCTCAATTCACCTACACTGTCAAATGTTCACAAACAGAAGCATGCCAGGTGTCCAGCCTAATTGGCATCTCCAGATCTTGCAACTGGCTGAGAACGATTCTGTTCGACTTCCTCTCTGGAACTTTGGCTGCCTCTTCCAGTCAAAATCCGCGACTCGAAACAAACATGAATGCAGGATTCCGGGTCCTGGGTTGAGCAACATGGCATCACGAGTTGTGCGACACATAGGCGTGTCCTACCAAATATCTTGGGTGAGTGGCTTCTCGTGCGTCTCAAAACGTCTGCTGGCAAACATGCACAAACACCAGGACAACACAATAAACCGATAGGGTGGAGGCCCACCCAAAACCGATCCCTGGTAATACTGCCTCACAAAATTCTGCACCAGTTCGATGAAAACCTATGAATTCTGGTTGAACAAACCGGCAATCCCAACTGTGGTACGGATACCCATCAAGCGATGCCCGGGTTTGCGTCCGTTCATATCCCACATGCCCCAAGAAGGCTTCGACAGTCCCGCCTGAAGCCTTAGAATTGAGGATTTCCATGCCGCTGCCGATGCACGTGGCCACTACGATCTTTGCCTCAAGCGTCTATCGCTTTTGTTGTTGGTCCGGGCTGGCCCTCGTTGCTGAACGCTCGCCGCATGCGTTAAAAACACAATTCATCTGCAAAGGACTGCAACATAGCTGTCCTGGGTGATATGTTGATTGGCGTCTAACAAGTAGTTATTGCTAGATCCCCTTGTGGTTTCGAGTGTACTGAGTGCCAAACGAAATGCCCCAAAAAGAAGAGTTTCTTTCTGGCTTAAGCCCAAGGCAACCTGACGCCTCTGAGGCCCCAGGCTCGTTGCACCTCCCTCCACATGACCTCGCCGGACATGCCCTCCACCTCTTTGCCCTGGCCAACTCGTGTGGCCTCCACACCTGAGCTGCATCAGAGCTGGGCGATGCCACCGATCTGTTTAAAGATGTCTGAGCCACCAATCTGCTCAAACAATCTCCTGGGTCCCCCATGGAAAAGGCTATGGCCCAAAACCGTTGAGAGAGGCGTACAGGGAACCATCCTGACGTTGATTCCGGGCGGACAAATCAACCAACTGTCGTTGGCAGGGAGGAAGGCGAAGACATCAAATCCCACACCGCAGGGTTCTCAGGGCTTCTGATCGAAGGGCTCTGACAACCTTTCTGGGGCCCAAAGGGGTCCTGATGACTTTCTGGTGTTTGTGGAGGTTCCCACGAAAGCATCAGGCCCCACAATTTCAGGCAAATGCTGGTCTGCAGTCTCGTGATTCGTGAAAAAATCACCAACTTGAGGCTTGCTGGCAGTGTCCTTGGGTGAGGTTGTTTCTTCCGCTATCCATATTGTGTGCTGAGTGGCAAATGATGTATAGAATGCAGCGGTGCCAATGGAACATCTCATGCAACAACCAAAATTGGTCAACACATACTAGTCTCCGTAGTCGGTGGAAAAGGGGACAGTCCACAATATATAACCTCAACACACGCACGCAAACACACACACACACACACAAAAAAAATACAAGACAGACAACCGCGCTGTTTCTTCTGCTCCTCCGCTCCTTCCCTCCTTCTTTTCCTTTTTCTCCTCCTACTCCTGCCCGTTCTCCCCTCATGCTTGCTGGCTGTGTATTTACATGGCTGCCCAATGTAGTTTTCCCGTGTGTCGGCAGTGAAAGCGAAATCCGCAGAAAAACTAAATCTGCGGATCCCCAACACTCATGTGAAGTTTAAGTTCAACAATATCTTCTTGGAGTGTTTCTCAGAGAGCCTCTTGGCTGCCTATGTTTCCATCTCCACACTGTCTGGGCCACAATCGATTCCGTTTTTGCTCTGCTTTGTGCTAGGTTACCAGTGCTGCGTTACTTTCCTTGACTTGTCGCAATGATCATATCATGTGTTGCCTCTTAGTGGGAAACTACCAGCCAAAAAGGTACGCAGGGCGTCACAGACTCTCTTCTTTCTGTATGCTGATTGACGACGGCTTTGGACAAGGCCATGTACCCGTGGCAAGTGCTGCCAAGGATCCCATCTGCTGCAATCGCACCTGCACATGATTCCCGAGGTCAACACGAAGCTGGGCCTTTCGCTGGCCAGAAATACCAGGCATGTGGCTCGCCCTCTATCTTTGCATTGGTAGTTGGTTCCCTGGCAAGTTGATCAACCGCACCGTTTCTCCCGATTGGCAGACAGGTCCTATGAAATTCAGCTCACTCCGAATGCCAAATTGTGGTTGTTGGAGTGGGACTCGAGGGCATGTGGAACAGGGAAAGCACTTGTACCCCCTTGGCCTGCTGTCGGCTGAGAACCTGACTTAGAACTGTTGTTGCCAAAACCCAACAAAAGTGCTGGAAGAGTAGCGGTCCGGAAAATAAATGATAGGGAACATTTATGTATAGAGGGAAAATACTACTCCACTTTAATCTGGTTAATGCTCATGCCTCCTCACATGGAGACTTGGTAAATCCCCGGTTTCAATATGTTTGAATGCCATTCGCGTGGGCTCACGTCGCCATGATCTTTTACAGTTCCGCAGGGCAGTTTCCCAGGCTAAAGAATCAAACAAACGACTCGCGGCATTGATTCAATCAACTGCAGCACAGCGGTCCAGAATCCTCCGGACAATGTGTTCGAACAATCCTTCTAGGTGGTCTTCAACATAGTAGAAGGCCAATGTCCCAACATGGTCAAACGGTGCGGCTGGCACATCCTGCCTACATGTGACAAGGGCAACACAGATGCGCAACCCAAACAAACCGTTAACCACAGCAATCGGGGACGGGAAATCTCTCACGACCTTGCTTCAGGGTGTCCTTGGCACCTGAACGCAATAACAGGCCCGCAATTTGATCAGGGGTGTCAAAGGAAAACCAATAATGTCCGCGATGTTTACCTCAAACGCACTGCTAACGCACTTGACATCATGGTTGTAGCGCTTGACATCTTCAAACTAGGGCCCTTCTTGAATGTTGGCAAGGGAAGCCAAAATGACACCGGCCTGAAGGGGCCCTGAATTTTGAGAAATTTTGAGAAACCCTCATCTCAAGAAGGGCTGAACAAAACCCTGAACAAACACCTTACAAACTCGAGGGGAGCGTGGCCCTGGCATGTCTCTTGCGCGGCCTGATTTTTGAACTACAGTGGATGCCAGCTTAATCTTGCAGGTTGGGGAACGAGGAACCCCTTGAATTTACCGTAATTTCCAGGGTTTTGGGGTTGAGGGATGGTTGGTTTACTTGCGAAATGGTAAGGGCATCCTACCTGAGGCTCTTCCGCCGCGGCACAAACATGTTGTCTGCCGCCACGTTGGAGTCTGCCACCGCCAAGATGCGCTCGCCCATGGGCCCGAAGATGTTGGCCCATGCTGCAAGTATGGCCTGAAGCTGCAGACGCCAAGTGGATGGTTGTGGAAAATAGCCCTGGCGACACCCAAGTGGGTCATGTTGAAGGGGATTCCTTGGTACCACAGAAACTGGTCCTAAGACCACCTTTGCCACAACTGTTGCCTTGGCAAATTGTTATATGAGGCACGGTCAAAATTACTTACTTACGGCCGTTTCGCTACTTACTTTGAGAGTCCCCTATCGTTTTCCAGCATGTCCATCGTTTTCCAGGGGTATCGTTTTTTTGAGAGTCCCCTATCGTTTGCCATGGTTTTGTGCATTTTCTCAATATCAACGAAACGACGAATACTAAACTCAACAGCAGTAATTTTCACGGTGCTTCATATAGACCCAAACTGAAGATGGTATCAGTATCCAAGGGAACACTTCTGGGATGACGGTAGTGCAAAACACGTCAAAAAGAATCAAAGAATGCTGAGGTATTTGGGAGCAGTTCAACAGTTGCCAGTCTTGAACCTTCCATGCCAGTTACAACATGGCAAGGAGAAGGGCAAGTACATGGCAAGTACATGGTAAATCCATAAAGAAAAAAAAAAAAAAAAAAAAAACATCTCATAGTGCAAACCCAAGTTGTCATGTCTCAAATTTGAGATCAAGTTGGATGTAACTCACGGGGGATGAGGCAGGCGGCCCTGACCTCCCACATTCTGAAGCATTCCCAATTGGCCAAGGTCTGCATGTTACTGTGGTGAGCAATCCTTCCAAAACCATGCAGGGACCCAATGCAGGGATGTCCGGATGTCCCCTGAACTGGGTGTGACAAAGGAGCTGTTGACACGCAGCCATTGCACTGCTGGAAAACCGAAATACTGGAATGGCCATATAGCTGCCATAATCGAGTTTGCACGTGTTATCGTGCGATCAACTGCACTTGTTTGACGCTTTCCAAACGTACATTGGTCCACTGGCCAAATGTTATTGTTCTTGGTTTCTTGAAGATCCTCGAAAAGAGGTTTGTTCAGCACCTTTACTAGCCGTAAGAAATGTAGTGCGGAACTAAAAGAGAGAAACATCGACAACAAACTGGATGCGGTCAGGGAGCGACAGCCACGTGGGTCTTGCCAGTTCCCGGTGGACCTGCATGCAAGGTGCAAGGACCTTCATGGATTTTGCCTGGGAACCCTCTGGTAGACATCTTGTTGGCTGGGCTCTTTCGTCCACTAACCAGCTGGGAAGGTAGTCGATAAACCTTGTAGAAACCACGAACCACAATGCAGACTACTTGCCACAAGCTACTGTTGCAATTGATTTCGTGACTCTTGACTTTTGAGGCAACATTTTTGGGCATTTGGGGAGACACATCTTCAGGTGCAGGTGCTATCACAGCAGCACTTGCGGTTGCAATTTAATCTTTTGCCCTTCTGGGGCACAATCTTGGTTTGCCCTTGCAACGCTTTCTTTGCAACAGCCTTTGCAAGCTGCAAACTGACTTGCACGCTCTCTTGCACGCTTGCTGTGCTTGCTCTTGCATGGGCGTTCTTTGCGGATTTTCTAGCTGCCTTCGCAAACTGCATTGCGCCACCTAAGGTGCATCAAACGCAATTCTCCCAAGACAACCCCTCGAAGCAAACACGCCCAGCGACATCCTCACACATCAAGCCCCTAGCCAAGACATCTCGGAGGCATGCCCCAAATCCCACAAACAACCTCCGAGGACACAACACAACTCAGAGAGACGGCCACCAAACACACACCATTGACGTCCTTCAGGACACACCCAAGACATCCCAAAGTCGACACCCGTAGCCATGCCCCAAAGTCCCCTCTCCCCGACACTCATCGCCAAGGCAACAAACATGCTCCAACCGTCCAAAGAACATCCGCCCCGAAAGGCACGCCCTCGTCCCCGAAAGAAAGTCTCCCAAAACAATCTCGCCAAGGAATCCCCGTGTTAGACATCTGTTGCCAAGGACATCCCCAAGCATTTCAAGGAGAGAGAACAGATGTGGGGGATGCAAGGGCAAGGATTAAGGCTTCACCAAACATCCGAAGACTCCAACCCGAGCTTGAAGAAACCTTAAGGATCCCTGTTACCCAACCTCTTTGATGACACACTCAAAATCTGTGCAACCAGTCTGCCCCCGCTGCCCACCTTCCAAAGACATCCCCAGAAGACATGACCCAAGACAACCGCGAAGACACCCCAGAAACATCCTCCAAACAGACACCCCCCCAAAGACGCCCCCGTGAACACCCCTTCCAACCAAGACATCACCAACAGACATGTTGCATGTTTGAAGTCATCTCCCCAAAGACATATTCCTCGACAAACGCACAGCACGTCCACGTCCGAGTTTTCTGTGGGCGGAGCTAATTTACTAGTAAATCGTGGGCACGACCATGTTGTACTCTAAGCCTATGCTTCACTGGCAGCCACTTGTTGCTCAAGCTGCCACCCACCGGCTACACATAGCGTCCCTCCAGCCATCCACCCTCTCCAGAAGCGGAATCAAAACCCCCTAATGGTGACAACTGAGTAGTAAACCCCCTTCCCCCCCCCCCCCCTCAAGGTCGACAAGGTTTGGACAAGTGCCCAAAACTGTGATTTTTGGGAGAACCCCCCTGATTAATCTCGAGCCCCTTTCGGTCCTCGTCCTCTTGCTTCTGCCCCCTTCTGGGCAGTATGACTTTAAAAGGCAACTGCAGGTTTTTGGGTTTTGAGCCCAAAAGGGCGCTGACTAATCGTGGGGGTTTTCTGTTAATGAGGGGGGGCTGGCCTCAAAGGGGGTCCCCTTTGTGAGCTTGAAAACCTTGTCATTTTTAACAACTTTCAATAAAGAAACATGCATTTTGGGGGAAGCACATGTTTGAGGAAAACTTGAGGGGTTCAATAGTAACTTAGTATTGGTGGGCTTAAGCACAGTTTCTGGCAGCTCTTTTTGCCTCGGGGGCTGCAGAGGGATACCTTTAATCGGGGGGGTTTTGGGGAGGGCCCAAGAAAAAATGGGTAGGGTGTTTTTGGGAAAACCTTGTTGGCCCTTTACCTTACTATTGGTGAGAACCTGGGGGGAAAAGGGGAAACCTTTAATCGGGGGGGGGGTACTAATCGTCTCCAGACAGTACTATAGTATACGCCAAAATTAGGAAGAGCTCCCAAATTTCCGGGCAAGTTTCACCCCCGCCCCCCCCAAAATGTTTACACCATAAAGGTACACAATTGTGTGTGTGGAGGGTGGTTGTGGGCGGGATTGCGCAATGAGAACCATAAAAATCACAGAGAGAACCCTGTGAAACCCAGCGAGAGCCATTTTGTAGACCGTGAAGCCTGAAAAACGTAAAGACCCCGTGCAAACCCCTTGAGACTGCTGTGGGACCCCCCAAAACAATTCCAGCATTCAACACTGCTCATCCGGAACATACTCCGCTGCACACTCGGCCAAGACAAGATACATTGCTTTCATTGCGGGGGGGGTCGATGGTAACATGTTTGCTGGTTGTTTGTTTGGGTACGATGGTAGTTAAGAGCTATCTCACTGAAATTCTACACACCGCCCCATCCGTGCCGGGTCCCGTGCCTTGGACCACTGACAGCCTCTGCCCCAAAGCCTTCTCCACAGCTCCACTCTGAGAGGGGGTGAGGCTGGCGATCAGCGCGTGCTGCCGCGCCAGGGTCCTAGGGGTTGGGATTTTGCTGGCCCTGAAGTGTAGAACTTTTGGTGCTTTCTGGATTTGTCCCCTTAAACGTTAACAGTTGATTCAGTTGATCAATCCACCCAGGCCAAGGGAGGCTTCCTGTTGGCTTGCCCTTGGCTCTCAAGGTTGGTGCCGTCCCCAAAAAAATCAGCAAGCACTGCAACACTGGCCCAAAAAGGGGTTTGGTCCAGGGGCTTTTTGATGATGTATTGGGAGAGAAGCACTGGAACAAAAACAACATTAAGGACATGGATTGGCACTCGATTCGGAGGGCGCCCACACATGAAGCATGCACACATCCGAACGACTTCAACTTCTCTTCAGTCCCATCTCATGAAATCAACTTCTGCCACCCTCCCGGCCACCGAATGGCGCTAACACCAAACAAATTAAACAAATCCAGACTTGCTGAACAGAGGTGAACAAGAACAGCACCCCCCCCCCGCCCCCGCTCCCCCAAAAAGGAGAGAACTCGCCTTTTCAACGAAACGACACGCAAACACACACACACACAAACACACAAACACACAAACACACAAACACACAACCACACACACAAACACACACACACACACAAACACAGACACACACACAAACACACACAAACACACAAACAAACAATCAAACAAACAAACAAACAAACAAACACACACACAATCACACACACAATCACACACACAATCACACACACAATCACACACACACACACAATCACACACACAATCACACACACACAATCACACACACACACACACACAATCACACACACACACAATCACACACACACAATCACACACACAATCACACACA